GTTGCCAGGGGCCTGGCCCCGAAGGGGACACAGCTGTCCCGAAACTGAAAAAAGGACCCAGCGGTCCAAACTGCCCATGCCTGACCCTCAGAAAATGCACCCAACAAGTGAAAGAAGAAATCATTGAACTGAGTGGGCAGGCCTAAGCTAGGTCACCTGGTTAGGATGGCACATGACCAAGATGGTGGCCTCCAGCTTAGCGCACATGGTCCAGATGGCGACCCCTGTAAGCACATTCTCAATTGCCAGAAAAGTTTCAAACCTCATTCATGTGGAAAAATGAAAACCAGCAAACAAACAAAAAACTCTCAGAGTGTCTCAAGCAGACATTGCCAACCAAGAAGAAACACAGTCAGAGATAGAGCAAACAGAACAATGAGGGACATTCCCAGGTGAAAGAAAGTTCCCACTGGGAGGCAGAACTCCGCTCATTTACCTATTCGCTGCCAGTAACCAAAAGATCCCGTAAAAAATGTATTTCCCATGGGCAAGGCCAAAAAATGGCACAGATTGTCCTGAAAAATGGACCCAGAGTGAACAGTGCTGGGTCTGCCCCATGGGAAAGGTTCTGGGTATCTTACCGGATTGCAGCGAATAGGCAGATCAGTGAGTTCCATAGATACTTGGTTGGAAAAGCGGCGAGTTGAGTTCCGGCATCTCAGGCTGCTGCAGGCAGGAGGAAGTGCCAGGAAAAGCCGAGATGAAGTGGGTTGTAAGGGTACCCTTGCCTTACCATGTGCCCGTCAGCGGGCCACGGGAGAAGGTGCAAGGACAGAGCCTTTCCACGTCCAGGCACCAAAAAAGTTGTTATTCTTTTGTTTAAAAAGAAGAAAAGAGAAATGCTGAGACATGAGACATATTGACTATAAGTTTATTATAAGGCTCGGCAGAATGGGGAGACTAAGAAGAGGAACAGGGGTAAATGGCTGACCGCCATGGACGGTCGCCATAGACAGCAGAGAGAGAGCATAGGTGGGAGACAGAGTAGAGAGAAAGGAAGCTGAGAGGAAACAGAGCGGGGAAACAGAGAGAGGAAACAGAGAGCATAAATGGGCAGGGACCTGATTTTTAAAGGGGTCCTCTGCACCTGCGTGCAGACTTAGTTCCCATGGAACCTTGGGCTGACCAGGGTACTGCCTGTTCCACCAGGTAACAGGGGCAGGCCAGCATAATGCCTGAACCTTTCACTGCCATTCTTGAGGTACCTTAGATGTGTGGACTCTGCCAGTGAACACAGCCCCTTCTCTAGAACTGCTTACTAGTCAGTCCAGTCAGTCTAGACATGATACCTTGGAAGTCAAGTCACAGGATTGACCTCATACTTTCCCTGATCAAGGTGGCAGAGCTGGGACTTAACTGGCCAACATCCAGAGACTGATTGTGTGGGAGTGAATTAATCACCCTGCTTATTAGAAAGTAAATAAAAACTATTTACTCCTTCCTCCTAAAACTTGGCAACTTCTAGAACATGTCAGAAGGGTTTTGTTTTGTTTTGTTTTTTAATGTCTTCATTTTAATGAAATTTGTATTTGTTCTGAAGTACCAAACTTTTCTTTGGGGCGTTCAAGGTTACATACTACAAAGTCTTCAATTCAGATGGAAGATATGATTTGTGGGTCTTGCCAAACTGATACTCATTGGATCCTGTTTGGGGATGACTGTCACTTACAGTCCTTTAATTCATTTTCTGTCAGCTCACTTGAGCATGCCTCTGGTATGAGATTGGGGTTACCCAGGTATTGTCTATAGGGGAGACCCAGTTGCTCTGAAAACCTTGCCTACCTTCCCTGGAGACAGTCCAGTCCCTCCTCCCAGCCTGCTGTTTCTACCATACCAGCTGGCTAACACAAATCTTCCTCCTTCTAGCCCTGGGCCTGGAGGCACACACTGCCAGGGTGCCAGCGTAGAACATGCCGCCTGTGAGAACCTGCCCTGCCCCAAGGGTGTGCCCAGCTTCCGGGACCAGCAGTGCCAAGCCCATGACCGACTGAGCAGCAAGAAGAGGGGCCTGTTGACAGCAGTGGTGGTTGATGGTAAAGGCCCTCCCTTACAATGTAACCTCCCTCTTCCTTTTCCCCAAGAACTGACCCACTTAGGGTATAACCCACTTAGGGTATAACCCACTTAGGGATGCTCATAACCCTCAAATCCCATTCAAGAGCACACCTATCCTCAGACCAAGTTAGCCATGGCCCTACTCCTGCAAATAGTAGAACTGAATCCTAACAACTTGAGATCTCCCCACACAGTCCATAAAGGCAGACAGTAGGCTAGATTCATTTGCAGCAGGGCAAGTGCGCCAGTATCTGTTTTCCATTGCTTTGTGTTCTGAGGTACCAAGAGCAGAATGATATGCTTTCATGTGCACCTTTTTGCTTTCCTGGGTTCACTTTGGGTTGGCTTTACTCTTTGCCTGTAGTACTTGGAAGATTTTGAGAACTGTGGACAGTCTATGAAAGAGGGTAACCAACACAGGTCACTTCCCAAGAACTTTCTTCCCCACCAGGAGGCTGTCTGCCAAAAAATGACACAGTATTTCCAGCACCAAGAAACAAGTTGAGGGAGGTTTTGGGCTATGTCTCCACAGAGTCTATGATATCTAGTCACTGTAGGTCACTAGTCCAGAGTGTTGGTAAGGACATGAAGACAGAATTTTCTGTTCTGCCTGGTCCCACAGCCATTGAGTCCCAAATAAACACACAGAGGCTTATATTAATTATAAATGGTTTAGCCAATGGCTCAGGCTTCTTATTGGCTAGCTCTCTCTTAATTATTAACCCATTTCTATTAATCTATGTATCTCCATGTAGTCTTAGCTTACTGGAGAATGCCTGAGCTCTTGCTTCCGCAGCAGCTACATGGTGTTTTCCCCTGGCAACTGCTCCCTGCCTTCCCTATTCTCAGAATTCTCCTACTCTGGTAGCCCCACCTATACTCCCTGCCTGGCTACTGCCAATCAGCATTTATTCACCAACCAATAAGAGAAACCTATATTCACAGCCTACAGAAGGACATCCCCCATCAAGGACACACTGAGGTCTAGTCAAGCGGGTTGGTGGGTTTTTTGTTTGTTTGTTTGTTTTTTCTGAAACTCCTTCTCTTTGAGAAACATGACTTTGTATTGTAATGCTGAAAATGTGGTCCCATTTACCAATCACACCCTAAAACAGGCACAAATTACCTCCATATTCATGGTCTCTTTGAGCATGCAAAAGAAGCTCCAGAGGATGAGAGGTGACAGGCTATGTGACATCTAAGCTCCTGAAGCTGACACAGTTGAGTATAACCCACTGGCTCTCCATACTCAGATACTCTGCCAGGAAGCACGAACTCACAGATACAATAAAGCTGCTGGGTCTGATTTCTGTAACCTCAAAATGGCTTACAGAATAATGAATTTTGGTACCATGTTGGTTTTCTTCCCTGTGAAATACCCACTCTGGCACATGCGATTACAAGTTCAAATGTTCCTGGCTGTTTTTGAAGAAACTGAGATATCCCTGGTAACAACAGCTACAGCTTCAGATGTGCAATCTGTGGTGCTCTCTCTCTCTCTCTCTCTCTCTCTCTCTCTCTCTCTCTCTCTCCTTCCTTCTTTCTTTTAATTAATTAATTTTATTTAATTATTTATTTCATTTTTCAAGGTAAGATTTCTCTGTGCAGCCCTGGCTATCTTGGAAATCCATCTGTAGACCAGGATGGCTTTGAATTACAGAGATCTGCCTGCCTCTGCCTCCCAAATGCTAAGATTAAAGGCATGTGCTCAGATCTGCATCTTTTAGCCCAACAAGCTGACCCCTCAGTTTTGAGCTGTCTTTTAAAATAGTGCATGGTGTTTTCAGTGGTACCTGATTAGTGGCGGGGGGAGGGGAGACTGCTAAAGTAATGGAAAGTTCATTTCCCAGACATTTTCCTTGTATTTAAAAAAGACACCACCTTTGGGGGCTGTGCTGCCCCTTAGCCAATGGAATTCAGGAGGAGCTCAGCTTTTTCACCCCCACCTTTTCCTAAAAAGAAAGAAGACATGAGACTTCCCTCTCCCAAATGAAAGGGTGCTGTTGGGAGTACCCTTACTTCTCCCTGTCTGGCCATTGATGTGGTGCATGTACAGCCTACAGGCTTCCACCTATCTCAGGAATATCCATACTCCTGATTAGGACAGAGACATTCCCAGAGAAAACTGCCATGGTCCAGGGCAGCAGCACACTCTGATGAAATCCACCCTGTTACCAAGCCTACATTGTCTCCAGAAAGCCAGTTAAAAATGGTTTGATGCCTCTTTCATCCTCTCTTCCTTTCCTAGAGCCAGAAGGCATTAGTGATGAGACAACACTCGAACCTTTTCCACTGCCACTCCGCTCTGTGTGGGGTTATTTGTTGCTTGATTGTTTCATTTTTAACCCCTTTGGAGTCATATATTTAGGGCAGAAGTCTCACTTAAACAATCCATCTTAAACTTTTTTCTATTTGCTGCTAACAACTTTTGAATAGCTGAGTGCTTTGGTTCCAGTAGCAGTCTCCCTTCATGGAGAGAGGCTCCTTGAGGACTTTGATGGGCCTAGAATGCATTTTCTCCCCGTTTGCCTCTTGTTCCATTCTGCCCACGTTAACAAATGAATGTGGGTGCTACATTT